TAAAAATTGTTAATTTGGTATTGAATTCACTTTTATTAATTTTCATTGGTTTGTTGTTATTTTAAATTTTATATAGAACATACATTTTTTATTGCTAAAATCATACATTTTGCGGATTCTTTATGCTGAGGGAGGGGATGATATAATTGTAATTATTATTTTTTTGGATCAAAGAATGAACATTTTAGGGTTTGTTGGTTTGTTTACTATGTTACACTCACTCATCTTATTGAAAAACCCTTTCTCTAATTTTTTTTTTTTGGGGTCAAATTCCATTTCTCTCTTATTAGTTATTGCATTTACGGTACCAACCACCATCTACGCCCATATAGACCGCTAATTGTTTTGTCCTGAAAACTTTTTTGGGTCGAACATTGTTGTCCAATTTACATCATCAAATTACACCCATCCAACGGCTCAAAACGCAAGGCAAGCAACCACCCAGAAACACCAAAGCGTTTCCCGCACACAATTGACACTCTCGGGGTACAGGTCCTCAAGAATCTAATCTGCAGCGCCCACTTTCCTCGCTCCTCCTTCTTTCGTTTGTCGTACAAGGTCTTTCTTGGCCGTATCGGACATCTTCAAAACCGACACGCAATGGCTGAAACTCCATCTCAGTCGCCACCACGATCTGTGCCGGAGGCGGAGACGGAGACGCTGCAGTACTGGTGCTACCACTGCAACAAACGCGTGTCCATCGAAACCCTCGCCAATCTGCCGGACATCATCTGCCACGAGTGCAAGAACGGGTTCGTCGAGTCGATCCCGGCTGTGTCGTATGAATCGACGGATCAGGTTGACGACCCGACTTTCTTCCGCCAAGTGCTCCGTTTAATCGCTCAAGCGGCGCGTGAAGAGGACGCTCCACCACCGCTGCCGCAAAATCCTTTGCCCGAGGATGATTTCTTCAGGATTGAGATGGACGGGTGGGACAACGACGAGGACGAAGACGATGCGCACAGTGTTGAGTTTCACAACCAAGGAGGTGAGGAAAACGAAGAAGCCGGAGAGGAAGTAGAAGACGAAGAAGATAGATCGGATAACGAGGATGAAGAGAACCAGGAGGATCAGCTAGAGACCGATGAACAAGACGTGAGACGACGTCGTCGCGATGTGCTTCGTCTCCGCATCCAAGACATTGCGACCCGAGCAAGTACCGGTAGGAACCGGATTCTGGACTGGGCTGAGATCTTGATGGGACTGGAGGACAACTCGATCGAGTTCCGGCTTGAGGTACCCGAATCGGACCGATATATCGGCAATCCCGAGGATTACGTGGACGCAGCTGGCTATGAGGCTTTGTTGCAGACCTTGGCTGAGAGTGATAACGCTGGAAGGAGAGGGGCTCCACCGGCGTCCAAAAACGCCGTATCTGAGTTACCGACGGTCAAAATTGCGTCGGAGGATGAGGCCTTAGTGTGCGCCATATGCAAGGATATGGTGAATGTTGGTGAAGTGTCGAAGAAGCTGCCATGTGGGCATGGGTACCACGGTGATTGCATTGTGCCTTGGCTGAGTTCCAGGAATTCTTGCCCGGTTTGCCGGTTCGAGCTGCCCACCGATGACCCTGAATACGAGGAGCAGAGGCAGAAGCAAACTGTGACTATCAGTGCAGCCGGAGCTTCCGGTTCTGGTGGAGGTAATTCGGTCTCCCATTGATTCGAATCGGTATCAGTGTTTCTGCTATTACAACCCTCCTCCCCGTGTCATTTTTCCTTTTTCTTTTTGTATTTGTAATTTATTTACTTGCGTTTGTTTGTTTGTTAGTTTAGTAGACGATTCTAAGAAGAAATTGAGATCTGTTTTCATTTTTTTCGATTTTCTTCTGGATGTAAATAATAATTTAACTCAATTTGCTGGTGGCATTTGCTCATGTTTAATTTTCTATGTCTTATCATATATGCTACAATATACAAGGACTGCTTCTTTCTCTTTAAGTTGTTATTTTGTGCTTGAAAGAGTATTAAGTTCTGACTTACTGTTTGCCCAAAATCGTCTTGTTTAAACCCCGTTGTTTTTGTTTTTCTGATTCAGAGACACTGCAAGCTGCAATTTTCTGATTCCGTGCTTTCCACAGTTGTAATGCATCTCTGGAAGTGTATGGTCTAGAGTCTTGAAAATGGATGAAATTAATTTGATTTGTAAATTTGTGTTTTACTTCGATATGCATCGCCCCTCTTTGTCATGAGAGTTGTGTTTGGCGGGACCTCTTTTAAAAAAATGTGATAATGGTACCTTTTTTATATAGATGGATGCAAGGAAGCGCTGTCAGGTAAAGAAATGCTTTGCTGCTGAGTTGTGCTTAGGAGTTTGATTATGAATTGATATGATCTGCTTTATTGTGTTTTGGTTGTGTGCTTTGCTCTGCTATGCAGTTAACTATCTAGGCATTTTCCATGTATCTAATGTACTGATTGACCCTGAAATTGAAATTTGAATTAAGAGTGTTACCAGTAAACTTCTTCCGCATTTCTGTTCAGAATCCGATGGCATCATCTTTTACCATTTGTTTTCAAATAAAGCAAGGCCGCTGTTTCTTTATTGGTAAGCATAAACTTCTTGTAATAACTCTTTATTCTCTGTGCATTTGGTCATCATAATATGAACGCCAATAGAAAAATATTATACAAGCTGAAGAACAATCGACTATATCTTTAGAATTTTGAGTCGTCTGACTCAAATGATATCGAGCCAAAATGGAAAGGGATGAGATACTGCAACAATTGATGTCTGATATGAGAATGCCTCAAGTCAGTCCAGCTAGACTGACAAATTGGTGGAAGAAGTTGTCCCTTAAGGTGAACCTTCCAATTGGAGCATCCACTTGACTTCTTTGAATCACGAAGTTAACTAAAAGGCATGTCTTGGAGTTTATAGCAGTCGGGGAAGTTCTGTTAGTAGCTAATTGGCGGGCCGAGAGCATGTTTTGTTAGTTTGCTTGTTTGCCAAAGACTCGTTAGTAATTGCAATGTCATTTTAGAATGTGCTTGAATTTTGTTTTGATGAGGTGAATTAATCGTCAGTTTTGTTATTGATACAAGGTTAAACTGCTGATCATCAGTATAAACGATGGTAGTATTTTCAACTAGGGTTCATCCTTGCACACACTGTATTTTGAAAGAAGCACAAATCATACAATTGACTGACGCTCTCACTTCAATCCTGCAGTTTTCTTTTGCAAAATCACCGATGCAAATTATATTTGGGCACATTGAGTTGGGTGAGAAACACTCTAGCTTTCACTTAAAATTAAGATTTTTCGGGGAAGGTCACACGTTGGAGTTGTATTGGAAGTTATCCCGTCTTTTTCTTTCGGAATACTTCACCTCGGGCTCAAGTTGATCTGGTCGGATAGGAAGCAGCGAGGAAAGTTTCTACTTACGCATATATCATGCAACTAAAGTCTTTTTTATTTATTTTTGGGTCAAGACCAAAGTCTTTT